CGTAAAATACACATATTAATCGCAAAATTTTAACAACTTCGCTGTCATCACTATCATGGCTATTATCATTATCACTATAATTATCACTACCAGCGTTATCATCACCATCATCATCATTATCAACGCTATTTTCATTATCATCGCTAAAGGAAAGAAAATCTAAATCATTAGAGAGAAAATTAATAAAATTGCCTTTAAATGGAATTTTAACAATGACCTGATCATCTAATAATTATATCATGTGATCTTAATAATTCTGGCCAAAATTATTTATGCAATTTAAATATTTCACGTGATATTAATTTGTAAAAAAAAATTTAATAAAATCAAAATTAAATCAACAAAAAAAACTTATGCATCCAATTCAAAAAAGAAATTGAACAGTTTTGTCAAAGCTCTAGGTCATTTTGAAATTACCTCTGAATGACCTGATCATTTGAGATCATTTGTCACTCTTTAACTTTCACTTCAATCTGACTTATTTGAAAGTAAACGTAACATACGTAACATAACATTTACTTTTATTTTTCCCATTATATTATTGTTGCAAAGTTCTAATAGAGGGTTAATGATTAATTAACAACTGATTGACTACCATTTTCACAACGTGACCATGATTTTTATTTCTTTTATATATCATTTTTTAATGTTAATGCTAATTTTAATATCTAAATCAAACAATAAGAGAAATTATCCTTTTATAAACAATAAAATAATACTCTTTTACAGAATTGTCATATCACTAAAATCATATCATTCTGTTTTAACCTAAGAGATATGAAAGACAAAGAAAATAAGAAATATCAAAAAAAAGATTTAATCAAATAATTTCTTGCGAGCTGATGGTATACACCGGCCAAAACTAGCACATGCACAAGAGCATGTGACCTGTTAAAAATTAATATAAATGAACATATTCAAAATGTTGTATTGCTAATGAATAAGGAATGTTTACCTTACTTTGCTTACAGGTAATGGTTCTCCTTTAAGAAGTTCAAAACAAGCATCTCGTAATCAGTGTTGAATACGTTGATTTCGAAAACTTTTAAAGAATGATGACAAATTTTACAAAAAGCAGAGAAATGATATTACTTTATCTATCATTGAATGAATCTGATTCTAGTTGAATGACAAGAGTGTCCATGGTATCAATCTTCAAATCCATATATAGCATTGCCAATTTACATGCCAATGGGTGAATTATCTAGGTGTATGATCCGAAAAATTCACATTTTATCAATATTTTGAACTGCTGGTACATTTCATTCTCAAAAAGCGAGATGCATATATTCCTCAATCTTGGTGCCAAACACTACAAGTGCATGTATGTATTTGTAACATTATAGGCAATATACTCAATGGATATAGCGATTTGTTTGACCGGATCATCATTGTAATCTGTATTGTAGAACTTTAATTCCAAAACGGAAAAAATATCAGAGAGATATTCCCGGAATGCTAGCTGTTTATCAATAGAAACTAGGATACCAAATTGTTGGAAATACATTTCAAGTATGCATGACTCATAAGAATCTATATCGAAAAGAAATTGCGCAAATTTATAACGTTAACATAATTAATGAAGAACATTATGAAGATGAATACATACCTGTGATAAGAAAGGAACGCATTTCAAGCTTTACGCCTTGAGAAAAAACATGACAGCCTTGACAAAACATTCAAAGTAGCATCTCGAAGAATTTTCATTAACGCATTAATAACGACAGTTAGGTAATAATCCTCTGAAGA